GGGTGTGCTGGTAGAATCTTGAGATTTCGATAATTTAAAATTCAAATAAAAATCTGATCGATTGCCTGGATAGTTCTGTGTTAAAGCCATTGTCTGTGATGCTGCCTACCCTGTGTGACCACATGCGACTTAGGCAAAGCCTGAAACTACTACCGCGCTACAGTAACTATTATAGAGATCTACAGAGTTGGATTAACCTACCTTTAGTCTACCTTTCCTTTTTTTTGCTATATCACATGGCTTTGTATTGCTTTTCTATTTGGCAGATTGACTCTCTCGTAGAGTATGCCGCGCTTGCAGTGCTACTAGAGTTGACTCTGATCACTTTTGACCAAACTGTGTAGTCGATGTGTACGTTCTAGTTCTTTCTATTTGCTGTCATTCTAACAACGACATTGGAAAGACCTGCAGATACTGGCAGGGATCAGGGAATAACTATTGGAGAGCTAGAAGAGAATGTATGGGACTTAATTGAGAACATGAACTAGACTTTACATTGATATGCCTCATAGGTGTTTTCAAAAAAGAGTGAGTAAAATACAAAGTGTTCTTCATCGTGACTGCGGCACTCGTCCACCAATAACTTGCCCAAAAGCAAAACCTCGCTGACAAAGTTGTTGTTGTCAGTTAATGTTGAATCGCGTCCAATCAAAATAAATATAGTAGGCTACCATACAGCTGCTTAGTAACTGCCGAATATTGCTTGGGATGGCATCATTGGGCAGTTGTCGCAGCTTATTAGTCAGACTGAAAAGTGGCTGACCTCTGATACCCCTTGAATATTACTCACCTCTATATCGCTTCTGCTGTGAAGTCTTTTAGTCTCGGGGGTATGAGACGCACTCTGATGCTAGTCATGTTTTCTTCGTAGCACATATGAATATCTGAACTGTCCCGTATGTGGTGTTTTTCCCCATCAATTTTACATTAGCTTAATCGCAAATTGGTCGGCTATCATTCTAGCCACTTGGCACAGTACAAGCCTCCTTGTCCATTGTTCCGTTTTTGATCTAAAAGATATATTTGTATCTTGTAAATATTCGCAACTTTTCTATTTTCGGTTTAGTTCCGCAAAAAAGAAAGATGGGTGCTTGGCGACTCGGCGGTACCCGAGCAGGCCGCACCGTTATCGTAGTTAGCTCGATAAGCTTACGATAGAATTCAAGGCTAGATTATATCTGCACGTCGATCGGCCGCAAATCAAGTCACAACTGATGAGCTATAGGCGAAATGAGCAGGGGTGTAATCTAGTCTACTAACTGCTGTGCTTATATCGTTACCAAATGAAAAAGCATCGGGCTGTATACGGTCAAAGTCTCGACCTAGCATCCACTTACGTGATCGATTTAGTAGCGCAGAACTAGCCGGGAAAGGCCAACCCAATGATGTCCCGGGCCAAGGCGATTTTCCTGGACCTTGCCTACAAAAATCATTGATTTGGCCTTCACTGATAGTTCTTCACTTTTGAAGATTAGACGAATCCCTTAACTAATAAAGGAAGCATTTGGAGAGGCAATGTTTTATTGTCGTTAATTTCGAATGTCAGCTTTTACTTCAAATCGTTTGTTTGCTGAGCCGTTCTATATAAATCCGGATAGGTCTTAACTTGGGATCTGATAGAACCAGGCTCTGGCTGTAGATCGAGCACAGAGGAGTTTCAGTCTAAGGCGCAAAAGAATGTTTCGGGTCTGCTTAGTCTGGTGGAGGCCCATGTAACAGAACAATCACCTGACTCCTTATCTCTCCAAGGAATTATTATTTTCAATTTGTTTGGTTTGACTTGTTGAGTTGAGTTGAGTTGTAGTCTGCAGTAATCTTCTCAATGTATTTCCGGAATTCATAATTGAGTACTACTTTCAAATTACACTCGGTCTTATGAGCTGTCCATGTTAACGCTTATCTGGGCCTTATTTTATGTTTATTGCCAATTCTGGCCTCATACAGAAGGTATCTGCTACGCAACGACAGATAGATTAACAATGGCAATTTCATTTGGGATCTACATTGTGGCTTTAAATATATAAACAGTACATGCAAGCTATTCGTGATACTGGTGCAACTAATTCTTTTTCCTGAAAGTCCTTTAGGTGACTCGGTCGAATTTTTACGGAACACGGTTCTTCATTATTTAATCGCACAGAACACTACCACGAACGCAACTACGAAAAATATAAAAAATCTTAGCGTGATAACCTAATAAAGTAGCGTGTTAACAGAACGGCCAGATGAAATTTACAATTAGCAACGAGACCGACAACTGCCAAAATGACTTTCTTACAAACTTGATATTATGGTGGGTTCTCCGGGGCATTCGAAGCGTTTTTTGTCTTTTTACTATTCAGTAACTCTGCTTGTAGTCTCTTATGTACACAGTGTAGAGCCCACTAAAATTAAGTATTAATGACGTGTTACAATTCTCGTGCACAGTCAGCTTCTCGTTCATTGATTGACCTCATCGCTTGTTGGTTCGACGTTGCGAGTGATACTGACGAAATTCGTCGTAGTTCTATGCTAACTGTCTGCAGTTGGAAAGAGCGGGACCATCGCTGTTACCAAATCAACCCAGTTCGACCGAGCTCAATATAACGACAAGCAACGTCAGCTAGGCTAGAAAGAAGCCGTTGATGGTTAACGAATCGGGATGCAGGGTATTACGAAGTCCCGGTAGCGGACTGAATCCGAGGCCGAGCCATCGTATTGAATGGAGATCAAAGAAGGACGGACGAGTCCCAGCAATAATGTTGAGCCCACTAGCTAGCCACCCGTTTTTACCTCCGATGGCTCGATGGAAACCAGATATCCATTCCATCCATCCATCCATTCATAGAGTTAGACAACCAGCCGATCGGGCTCAGCGGTCGCGCAGGACGCAGGTGGCCCACACTTCCTTTCGGGTTCAATGGTAGGAGAATACAGCATCCAAAGCCTTATCCGGTTCATTTCTTCAGCGGGTTAGATAGTGCGTCTCCGGATAGGCTTCCGTATGTGAAGAGCTTCTCCCATCTAAGGTGTCCTACTTACCACGGATGCTGGTAGTTTTGTATGCAGTTGCCTCCCCCTCGTCCCTTCAGGCGCTTCCGCTTTCGCTCCCATTCTTCCATCCCACTTTGTGTTCATGCCGCACGGTGGATACTTTCGGTGGCACCATCTCCAGATGCTTAGACCCTATGGAACAATCTGATGTTGAGGAACGTACAATGGACAGGATGGAAACAATGGGGGACAGTGAGGCGCGCGACGAGCAATAATGATATTACCGCATTATCGATTATTGCATGGAATCCTTTGCAATTTCTCCTAAAAGATAGTAGAAATAAACACGTCCGTACGACGGCGTGGCGTGGAACGGGATACGTTAGACTATTCGAACATGATGTGACAATGATGCCGTAGAGAAAAAAAAAAGAGGGATTGAACAGGAGCAGGCATGCTCATCACCTACTTTCGGTATTGCCCTCTTATAGCCTTGGTATAGGCCAGTGTTGGTAGCAACAGCGCGCATCGTATTCAGTGAAGCCCCTCATGCACTTGTCTGCCCCTTTTTCTGCGTACTTCTTCTATTACCGCATAATGATATTGGGAGCGGCTTAATGATGTTTGATAATTCTGCCGCAGCCCTTGGGTAATGTACTATAACGGGGTCCCTGCGTCTGCCATGCTAAACAATATAACTTTCCGTTCACTGTGAAGTGTACCAAGTACTAATCTCATATCTTATGATAACGCCATTTTATAGCGGTGTCACATTTTGTAACACCTATTTGCAGCTTTTAAGGTGCGCTTGTACTATTCGAAATCTAAGACCGTTCGCTCACATATTATCCTTTAGACCTTTGACACGTAAGCTATGGTGAACCATATAAAATTAGAATATTCAATTTTTTAGTAATTTACAACTATTAGTTAATATTGAAATGATCGTCGAGGTAGCTCGTCCTATAAACGTACAAGTTCTATCATTACCGTAAGTACCGTAAGCCGTTAGCTCCAAAAAACCGGAACAGGAGATTTTTAACTTGAGTGACAAACTCCTTATGCGGGAGAATTGATAGTTGTCGTGCGAGGATACAACGTCTCATAATTTTACCAAATCGTGATTTGTTAGGAGAAATTGACCCTCTACGATATTTATATCGGGTCACATAAGTGGCTCGAAAATAACTTTATATTGTCTAGCTTAGTGGTCCAATGTGCGTATAAATCATCCGAGCGCCATGGTTTGTCAATTGCGTCTCAGCTATGTTTTCAACAGTCGAAGAAAATGATGCAAAACACTTCGCATCATGGTGTCGGAATTGACATTGTTACGTTAAACTTCTATAACAGCGATGTAAATAAGTTACCATCGGAACGGCAAGAAATCATAGGTAATGATGGTACACACATCGATCTATAATAAAACAACTAAGCTTGTGAAAAGAACGGCTTTTATGTTTTATAATAGATCGGTGTGTTTCTTTAGTCGAAGTTATAGGTACATTTACTCCATAGATCATTTCTGATACGAGTCATATCATTTAGCACGATATGTTATATCGCTACACACAAGAATGCCAAAGTGTTTAGTTCACTGCGTTCGATGCTTCAATAGGGTCAACGAAATAGGAGAATACATGTAGCCGACTCTTTTTTTTTTTAACTTAGCCGACCGATTTTTAATAAACATAAAAGCAAATGACTGCGCCCACAGGTCGGTATGACGTTAAGTCTCTGGCTGTAGCATTTGGAGATTGCTATGTATATACCGTATCACTACATATCTATCCGTAACAGATCTCTGTTTCAGACTGACTGGGCAAAACAGAGGTTTTGAAAATCCACGAGTGTTCATCAAATAAAATAAGTCAGATGCAGATACAAAAAATTACCCAAGTTTAAATCGGGTGTTCATGTCTGCGTATTAGGGCTCGTAAATTTTGAACAGAAGCAGAAAACCTTTTGGATCCTTCAAGCATTGTTCCACATACATTAATCGTCCGTACCTTTCCGCTTGCTTTCAGCCTCAAATAGTACGGGATACTGTACAAAAATCTTAACGGTGTTCTCGATACTTGTGATCGGGGCGACGTTCCCATTTTCGCTATGTCTGTGTATCAAGATCGTGCAGGAGTACGAGCGAGCCGTCATCTTTCGACTAGGTCGCCTACTTCAAGGAGGCGCCAAAGGACCAGGTATGTAAGCTTTTTAAGGCCTGAAAGACCTCGTGCTTTTAGCTACAGTACAAACCAAATGTATTGATGAGCATAAAGCTTTTTCTTAGATAATATTGCCCTACCTTCTGCTAAACAAAACTAGGCTGTTACGTTCAGTGTTACCAGACGGGTTATATATTGCTTCAGACCTGCCTTCTACAGGTACTATTATAATAGTTATTTCAGGATGTTACATTCGGTATTGCATTACTGGCTCCCATTGTGAAAATTAAGTGTCTACGCCCGGTTTCAAACATAGAATATTCTATGTGTGCTTAAGTTTAGTAAACAAACGAGCCGTTACTGCTTGTTTGTCTGCTAAGCTTAGTCGTAAACTGGTAATATTCTTCTACAACTACAACTACTGCTACTACCAAAAAAAAAATCGCAGCTAGCTTACTTCTATTCAATTCGCTATATTGGTACCAAATTATACCACAGTCTGTCATAAATGGGAAGCTTTTCTACGCAAGTAGGACCCTTTAAACAATGCGCGCTAAACGGTTTTTTCTTTAGAAAAGCCAAGAATAGAGCTCTTCGGTCGAACGGACAGCAGGCTTTCCGCTGATACCTTTCCGATTTCGGGCACAGATAGTCGCTTAGTATGATTAATTTATTATTTACAGTCTGCGTATGTATGTCGCCTGGGTTTGGCAGCTTATGACAGAAATACGTAGTTTTCTACTATGTACCAGCTATGACAAGGTATAGGTTGGAGAGAAAATTGAGAAAAGAGTCAATCCTTGGAAAGGGTCATATACACATTTACATTGGTACGCGCACTCTGGCGACATGAAAGACAGGCAGATGAACGCCTGTAACGTTAATAGTTTCTCTAAGGTGTACGCTTGATTGCGACCTGCATTTCAGCGACGTTTCGCTACGTTTACGCTTACGCTTGGTTTTGGTATCGCATGAAGGATGTCCGACACCACTGCAATACATCAGGAACAAATTTTAGTGTACCTCATTCGACAAAGAAAAAAAAAAATATATATATATATATATAGAAAGAGAGAGAGGGTAAAGAATCCGAACAAGAAACAGCAGCTATTTCGGACGTGGTTAAGGTATAAAAGCTGCAACTGCTATCAGATGTAACGTCAGTCTCGGATCAGCAGCGTAGGTCTTGACAAGTTGGTGGCAACGATGGAACCCGTGTTCGGTTAAAAGTATTGAAGCAGCTAAACGACAAAACCTGGACACAGACCGGCTATTCGAAGACCGGGCCAGGAACGGGAAGTCCACGGCTGCCGCAAGAGGCAGGCCACTCTCGTTAGGATAGTCAAACCACGGTCTACGTAATCACCAACCTCAAAGCAAAGGATGTAAAAGGGACTAAACAATGAAGGGTTAGTTCCGATGGGAAAAGGCTTGACCGACAATAGAGACCAGACGTGTGCCCTGCGGGGAATCAGCCGTCATATGACCTACAAAGTTATTAGATCCAGACCGTAAAGGTTGCAGGAGGACGATGTTGAGGACGTATTACAACAATGAACGAAGTGCGGAGACTCTAGGATTATTGAAGGATTGTAGAGACGGTTAGATAGGTGGCCAGCCGGAAAACGTTGTGACAAAGGTGCAAGACCATTGGTTACTGCGAAAGGCGCAATCAAGCGAGAGATATGCAAATGCTGTGTGGGAGCAGCATAGCTGCTAGGGATAACCGAGTGCTATGGTCAATTTAAACAATATATAGCTGCTAGTTTAGACGAAGTTAAACTATAAAGGTTCTGATCAATATATTGTCAGTCTCCGACCAATGACTTTCGCTATATATATATACATACATTTGGGCGTCTCTACGCACGCTTATTAATAAGCTTGCAACCTGCAATGAGATAAGGCAAAATTCAAATGAAAGATGTTGAGACGCCGGATTCTGTCTAACATTGGCAGCGTTGTCAGTGTAAACCCTACGTCCTTAGAAGGATCAGCGAATATCAGCTAGACACTGCATTTGGGATTTTATGGGTTACAAATTGACACACAAGCTTTACCACTATCCGGCCACCTATTGATATTCGTATAAAGTAGGCTATTCAAAAATAAAAAAAAATTGTGTGCCACGAATACGTGTGATGGTACCTACAGCCCAGATATCATTAGAAAAAATACTAAATAATAAACTATTGAAAAACTAGATCCATAAACGTTCACCTAAAACAAGTGGTGCGGCCGCTACGTCTAACAGAACCATCAAGCATTACCATAGACGGTCGGTTCTCAGCATGCAAATGGGTATGTTTACGCCCAATTTCAGCCCTTTTTTTGTAGTGATGTGGGCATGTTTATCCCGAATCGCAACCCTCCTTTTTATAGTAATGTCGGAAGAACTTTTGGGTACGATCAGCAAGAAAAATACAGTCTCCGGTAGTTTCAATGCACTGTTTCGTTACTGTGTGGGATTAAAAACGATAGATTACCTCTTATACTGCTAGGATTTGCAAACAAACATGCTAGTACCACAGTGTTTTGAAAACACTAAGTTCCATCTATCAGCACTAAAGTAGTCTTACTCGTTTCCGATTTAATTATTGCCATTTACTATTGTTATACTTTTGCAGAAGTATTTGTGCGCAAAGGATATATTCCTCGAATGAGAATAACATACGAGACGAATTTCTGTCTCTTACATCATTCCCTCACGAAATAATCTTACACCAACCTATGCTCCGCCAGCTTCTCTCCGCTCGAGTTTTGTATAACACTGCTATTAGTAGAGTCGGTCCCATCTCTTCTGTATCTATGCTCTTCTGTAGCAATCCGAGCATGCATATATATATATATACGCAGACATCTATATAGCTCTTGTTATTTTTGACGACCGCGACAATCTCTGCCGTCAGCGAGCCAATTGTTTCAAACTAGCTATAACCCTCAGTAAATCTAACGAACTAATTCTCTGAAGAAAGGGCTGGTAAAACAATAGACTTCGACCCGTTTCAGTATTTACCGCTTTACCGATCACCATCTTTTTCTCCTCCTTTTAATAGCAGGGAATTGCAAAAAATGCAAAACCGTTTTCATTTTATGACTATCTATGTGTTTTAGCTTTTGTCTTCGACAGAAAAGTGTACGTGTAAGTTTTACGCTTTTGTAGATCGATGACCTTCCTTGTCCATCACACTTTTTCTCCAAACAGCCAATTAAGCCAGTCCGCTTTGCATTGTTGCGCATTAAGGAGCCAGCAATAACCGTACTAAGCAGCGCCGGCTGCTACTGCTGGGAACGGTAGTTTCTCTATCGACGGGGAAGAAATTGAACTCAACCCACTTCGTCGAGGGGGATGGGGGTAAGTTCCCGTTTTCCGGTTGCTTATCCTCACTTTATTAGAGCTTTTTTTCGCCCGCTTCGCGGTGTCACTCCTTGGATGCAGGAAGCAAGTGTTACTGTTGCCGCTGCTACTATTGCTATCGTCTCGGCAGCTTTAATTTATGAATGTATTATCAATGCTACTCTAGTCATTGATGCTACTCAGCAGTAGAAGCACCATAATGAGAGAATGCCGCGATGCACGTACAGAAGGTCAGCGGCAGTAGCATCAGCGTTAGCAGAGGGGTCTGTCGAGCACCCTCGAGCATCATCGCCTTCTATGACTGTAGGGAAAGGGCGAAAAGGTGGAAAAGAGGACGAAGGTCACCAAGCGAGGTTTACAGTGAGACTGCTAGAATGCAATCACTAAGAACTGAACGTCTGTTACCGCGGCAGACTGTAGGAAAACGATGGAGCAAAGAGGCAAGGAAAGACTAGCCAGCATTTCGCAGACATGTTCCTATTGTATATTTCTTTTTTCTGTATATTAAGCCCAAACGACGGGGGCTCTGAGGGGTGACAGTGTCGCATCATTCATTCGTTCAGCAAGAAAGTGTAAGAAGCGCATGGCGTTATCCAGAAAATTACTTCCTTTCCGTTGCCTCTACCTCTTTTTTCACTTCCTTGTTACGCTTCCCGCCTCACTGCTAGCCTGCGGGGTCCTAGTATGGCCTAGCTTGGCCATGTTGCTTGCTCGCTTGTATAGCTTATATCGTAGCGTCAGCCTGTTCCTACAGCAGCGCCACCAGTAGCGCAGAGAGCAGCAACACCGTTAAAACAATAACAAAAGCAACGGCGATAAAACCCAGAAAGATGCCTAACGGCAATATTGCTGTTACTTGCCATTTTTTCATCTGTCAATATAGCCCACAGACAACCGCCTTGATATAATTCATGGACTCGGTTATGAGTAGGCTGAGTATACGAGGAGCCGCCAATCAGAAAAAAAAACTTACAATTCAGACAAGCAACATGAAACAAGGTCATTTTTTATATTTCCACATGCTAAGCAGCTATTGGCAATATTGAGACGGATAGCATCTGATTACTTGCCTGGTCAATGCAATGGAGGTTTCCTCTGAGTTCATTGAAATTGGTGGAGTTGCAAAAAATTCTTGCAGAGTTTTCATATAACAGAAAATATCTATGGCATATGGCACGGAGCTCATTATAAGAGAGAGACAATCTGCTAGAAAATGTATATGCGACCTATGTTCGATTCCATCATTTGACACTACGTTATTATCGTTTCATTGGCTAGTTGCGTTGTTTGCAAACTGCGTTAGTTGCGTTACTGGGAAATTTCAACGTTACCGTATAACCTTAGCGTACCGACGTAAAGCCCTCGTGTTATGATAAAAAACCTCATATCACGTATTCTGAAACAAAATACTTAAACCGGAACCAGGAGGCCCTTTATCTTGGAGGAGGTAAGCGAACATTATGTAAGAACATTAACTGAGTGAGGTGGCCTCTTGTAATTAGCTTTCAATACTTTATATCACAGTTAGTGCCTATACCTACACCTCGCCAGTGCTGCCCCTTCTTTTGTGTTTATCGGGTTTGAATACCTATTTTTATAAATTGTCCTCTTTTGTACGAAAAATAAATAAATAAGACTATGATAATTTTAAAGTGACCAGATTTCTGATGCTTCTCTATGAATTCGATTTAGACAAAGTTACTTGATTGATCAAAATTGTTTCATACTACATAATCAGTCATTTACAACTACGCTTAAATCAATCAGAACTGATTGACATGATAGCGATCCTATTATTTTACAGCCCAGTGTGTAATTAGTGCTATGTATTTGGCTGAAAGGTGCGTCAGTGAAATAGGCCAGTTGCAAGGACGTTATATTGAGACTAGCGCAATGCCCGACTAGTACTGGCGACTAGTTTTGAACAAACAGAAGGTCCTTAACAAATCCGAATAGAAAAAAGGTAAATTATCGGAAGTTTGAGCTACTCGTCCTGTGCATTGTACTGGGTAATATTACACATATCGTTGAAACAAAAGCCCCTGCCAGGTCGTACCCCTAATAGTACCAACATGAGGTGGAGAACAGACAAATGATAAAGGCCGCTTTATGCCTCGGACGTTTTCTCGCGCTTAATGTCCCTTTTTGATGATTCGCTAAACCTTTGCTTATTGTTAGCACTACATACGGGCCGCTGAGGAGGGATTGACCTACTCAAGGACGTGTACACTAACATCGATGGAAAGCGAGAGACGGGGATCCATGAGTCCTGCATCAGGATCTCGGTTCAGGGTACGACGAGCATACAGCCACGTCCGTCCAGTAGGGGTGGCCCACACACAAGATGCCTTCATACACCGGGGTGCTTCCTGTTGATTCAACCGCTAACGAAAACTCGGCCAAAGATGAACTTCTGTTTTAAAATGGAGGACTTTTTACGAGAATGTCGTAACATTGCTAGCATCGAATAATGTTGTATGCGTGTGTATACCTGTTTATATGCACGGTCGAGGCGTGAAAAACAACTTCACCGTGCATCTGACCGCGCTTCTTTGCTGTGTGTCCGAGTGTTGAAAACTGAAGTCAATAGGCTAATGGTAGGCGTCGGTTTGCGCTTAGGGTAGTAACACCTTCTCGTATATCTCTCGTCGTCGCCGACAGCGACATCCGTTTCCGTTTGTTGCTCCATCGACTGCACTAAAATTCGCATATGCTCTCAACCTACTGTTCATGGCTTAGTCTTGCCATTTTGTTCGATGGTTCGTTGTGTGCTTCTTGCTATAGCGGTGTTGAAAAATCAGCCAGCCATCAGAGTTGCTCGCTCGTTATTTTCTTGTACAGAAGTGAGGAGACAAAACTGGAAGCAGCAGGTTCCCAGCCGAAGAGGGATGGCAAAGACTCTGAGATGACGCACCTGAAGAGAGGAAAAAGGCCGGAAGAAAATGAAGATATCGCGGAAGGAGACACGTAAAGGGATGAGCTTTAGAACAAAATCGAGGAGAACTAAACCGTGGAAAAATAGAGACAGTAGTAGAGCTGCGGACGAAAGGCGTACCGTTTAGTTGCGATAGGAGGTTACGTGCGACTGCACCGCTTCTGAAGTAACGTCCTGGGTCAGTCTAGCCACAGCCACCATTCATTCAAGAAATGAGGACGTCAAGCATTTATAACGATATAGTTATTTAGTTGGTTATTAGAATCATGTTGGAAAACGCACAAAGGGCTTTATTTACCTCTCTGACATATTAGTCATTCCGGCTAAACGGGTTTTATACAAGGCAAATCTGCTACCCGGTCACTTGCTTACTCTCGGCCACGCCAAATCGGCCCACTTTAAAAGGCGAGAGAAGCTACAATTACCAGAGTCTTCCTTTCATTTCGCTATCATCCCGTTCATAATAACTGCTCATCATGTAGGTGGTCAATGACGCGTTAAACACACCAAACTAGCGTTTTTCTGTGAGTAACCCAACCTAGAAGTAAAACGACTTGCAGTGCTAGTGGGGCTCTGCCACTCTCGTTACGTAACTCAGCTTAACGGCCCATTAAAAGGACGCCTGTTAGGTCACGCACTTTTCGAGCACCAGTTCAGTGTTTCAGCTCGTCGTTCTCATATATATATATATATATATATATATATAGCAGAAACTTAGAGCTCAAAGTTCAGTAACAACATTGCTAGATCACCTAGTCCTTTTTCGTTACTCTTGTTCGAGGTGAGATCTCTTTACTGTGCACCCGTAGAAGCTGCTGGTACAGCAGCACTAGAAAGACCCGATAGCAGAAGCGGCTTCGACTGGCAAGTCCGAAAACACGACCATTTTTTATGGTGAGATCTCATTCCCTCAATGCTCAACGCCGCACCATGTCTCCAGCCGATCCAGTTCATTATGATCAAGAGCAGCATTAAAAGCAAGTTTGCAGCATTTGAAACAAACAGTATTTGACTAAACAAGCTCCGTCTTTGGCTTTGCGGGGTTCTGTCATCATTTAATAACTATCGATGAGTAATGGTGGCTAACAACCTGGTCAGCCAGCATCATTAACAACGGCATTGTTTTCGCTACCGACACTACTAACTTCACAAATCCCCTCGGTGTGTGCCGCACAGGTGTTATCCCTGACTCCTACCGCGATCTGTCTTCTGACCTGCTCGGCCATCGTATCTGGCCTGGTCGCTAATCAGCTGCTCTTTATCCCAATTAACAAACGGCAGGTTCTCTCTTGAATACCAATACTCTGTAATTTTGTAAACAGCAGCCAGTGAAGTCAGTTAACGAACGTATTGCAAGCCGGGCAAACGGGAGTCAACGCAGGCAAAAATACAGGAAATAATGTCGAGAGGTATGGAGCGTATGGCATTCAAACAAGTTCGTTAGCAGCTACACCAGTGCTAGTACTAATATTCTAGCATAATGGAATTAGTACCAGAGGCTGCAAAGCTGAAAGGCGATGCTAGCGAACACATAAGCCTTTTCTAGTCGCTTTGAGGCTCCAACCTCTGTTGCCCTTGGTCTCACACAACACGTTGCACACGGTGGCAAATCGCGGCAAGGGAAGAGACGTTGCTGCCAGTTATGTCTAATATTCCCGTCTTGTGCACTTGAATGGGCAGAGAATATAACTGCACTAAGTTGGTAGGCGGAAGTTGTGCTCATGCCTGCATGACCATAATATGGATACAAAGAACAGGTAGTTATATATCAACTTGTTTCGCTTTACTTAAAAAGAGACATACAATTACCATTTATGTTTCTGCTTTGTTTATTTTTGTTTCTGCCCTTTCTGTCTCACAGGTTTGTTCTTTATCATCCCGTGCATCGACACCTACAGCAAGGTTGATCTCCGTACTGTGTCTTTTGACGTGCCACCTCAAGAGGTAAGTGGTTTAAAATACTATTCTGTAGCACATTTAACTGCCGCTGATTTCGCAACAACGGCACTGTTATTTCACAGTAACGTTACGACTATATTCATTTCCTAAATGTGAAGCAAATTTACATATACAGAACGGCATAGTCAGTCGGGTGAGACTGTGTTAACCTGCTAAACAATGATCGCTACCTAATAGTGACTAACGGTAAGCACGACATTCGTTATACAGGTTAGAGGTGCTTATGTGTGGAAAGGGCAATCTGTTTTCGCAATCTGATTTCCTCGTTCTTCGAGTTGTTCAATAAGAGTGCTATTTGTTCGCTTTGTTGGGCATTGCTTGCCGGCCGACCCTACATCCAGGTCGTTCGATGCTTGCCTTTTACTGATTCACACGAAGTGTAGGGAAATAAGGGTCGAAATCGTGATGATGCTTCCTCTTTCCCTTCGGCGTAATAACTTTTGCTTCTACTTTCACGCATGGGGCGCGCTTTCGCTGCTGCTACAACTGATGTTGTTCGGTTAAAGAGATATGAACAGCAACGAGTATCATCTTGGCCCTTTTTTGACGATTCTAATGTTGCTGCGTCTGATAAGAAGCAGAAAGTACTATGGAAACTGCGAGGGCGTTTTATTTGTCGATAGAAAAAAAATCAAGGGCGATGCGTAAAAAGGCAACATTGACGAAGAAGAAAACGAAGGAAGAAGGACATTAAAAAGGGCTGTTATTATTGTCAAAGATGCAAAGCCCTTCGTGAGTTTCCCGCTATGGGCGGGTTGCGGTCATACGGGCAGACTGCGACAGCAGTTAGCAATTGGCAAACATGAGACGGTGACGCTGCTGGCGATAACTGTCGTAGGCTTCCCGGAATGAAAAGATGTAACTGTATTCTAGTTGAGCGATTTTTGCTGTTGTTAATGCTGTTGCAGTGACTGTTACTGTTGCTGCGTTTATTTCTGAGATTGCAGCCAGCCAATTTTTTCCGTTACTTGTCTTCACAACAAGACATAGACCGCAGTAGCACGGACGTGTGCTGTTCCATTACCAGTATCTGTGAGGTTATTTTTTAGGTTACTCCCACTGCTATAATTGGTTCTGCTACTACTGGTGTCGCAACGATGGGAGTGATAATGATCCTTAGGATTAACCCTTAGGAAAAGTTCCATCGCCACGGATTTGACGGTTCTTCTAGATAGTTTTGACATGAAAAATAAAGGATCTGGGTCTGGAGTTGGATTGCGTTGGATGTTGGGCTGCTTTACTGTGCAGTGGCTGATCATAGTTATCATCGAGTGTCATGCAGATGCATGGGCAGGCGCACAAGCATTTAAACCGCTAGGTCCAAACAATCCCCCAAGCCACTTTCAGATCCAGTGGTATCCACACAATTACACTCATCGTAGCAAGCTGCGATGTATGACATTGATGCCTAGCAGTGAATTTCCGCAGGAGTTTCATAGATTGCCGCAAACAGAGGATATATTGTGCGATAAGACCGGTAGCGGAAAAAGGGCGGACTCTAGGCTCAAGAACAGACATAACAGTTCACGCAGTTCCTGGTTTATTTTAATCACATTCACTGTTGGCTCTAGCTCAAACTGTCGTAGTTTTGCTGCTGCTACTGAACTAAATTTTTGGTCCATGCGTTCATTCATAGCTTATTTTCTGCCCTTTCTTTTGGCCTGACTTCGACTTACAGATACTCTCAAAGGACTCCGTGACGGTGGCTGTAGACGCTGTCGTATACTACCGCATCAGCAATGCCACAATCGCCATCACAAACGTGGAGGACTACGGTCACTCCACTCGCCTGCTGGCCGCCACCACCCTTCGAAACGTCCTCGGAACCAAAAACCTCTCGGAGATCCTCTCCGAGCGCGAGTCCATCTCGCATGTAATGCAGGTAAGCAAGCATAATTTTTATATCATGATACGATCATATAAATAAACTCTTAACGAAGGGGCATTTCATTTGTGTACCATAGCAGAGTATGTAATGTATATAGAATCCACGTATTAGGTTCTACTACATCTAAATGTAAGTAGCTGATACATAAATTCGATGAGTACCCTAAAAATCTCTCAAACTTATTAAAAAAAAAAAAAAAATTTAACCTAGTATTTGATTGATATCCATATTATTATATTATTATTGTATATATCTGTGTGCAGCTAGGACTCTAGGCTAAATAGGTTTTACGAAAGTATAAGCTCGTTGATATTTTAAACATTGATATACCTGTGCTAAGCCGAAGCTGTGAAGAAACACCTAGCGTGCCCGTTATTACTATTATTATTACCATAAACGGTAGCGTTTGAACGTGTAACATGGGGTTGTTGTGAGATAAGAACAAATTTATGTACTATTGGATTCCGTTTACGTTGGTAACATTTTAAGCCGCTTCTGCTAAGACCTACTCTAAACGAGGAATGAAGGAAACGGTATCTTGCTAACACAACTGAGCTAAAATTGACGTTCGCGCTTAGAAGCTTTCCAAACGATCATTGACTGCTGAAACGAGCTCGTAGCGCTAAGATTCTTTAGTATAGCCTAAAGCTGCAGATTTATATTCGTTTGTTCCGTAATCAGCAGTTCATTGTTTGTGTAACTTAAAGTAAATACGTTAAAAAAAAAGTATTTTTTTATAGAGTTGAAGTCGTGCAAAAACAATTTGTCCACGTTTTAGTACAATCACACTCTGGCCTGAGACAGCCTCCGATCTATCGATCCAAAAAATGTAGAACACCCTTGCGAGCTATCGACAATTTACTATCATTCGGCCATTAAGGCCACCTGTGATGCTGGCACCGATACTGAGTATCGGAAGCCGTGCGAAGGTAGATCTCTATCTGCTGAATAGTTGGCATGAGACCTAGACACGGTTTTCGGTCCTATCGGGTCTCCTCCTTGTTGCCGCCCGTCCGTCTTTTAGACCGCCTGTTTGGACTTTACGAGCCTCGCGAGTTCGTTGGCGAATACACGACATGGGTGTGGGCAGGGAGTTGCCCCTCGAGATCGACGTCGATGGTTTCCATAACAATATCTTTTATATAGTTGATACAGCCTCCATTGCAGCAACATAATACTATAACGCAAACTAAAAGCCATTATGAATCGCTTGCTGCAAGAACGATAAAACAGGACTTCTAGACTTCTAGGACAGATAGCTTTATCTGTGTGCCCTTGTTGGCAACATAAACCTGTGGCTTTTTATTGTTACCTATTGTCCTGCCTCCAGTGTCTGAACACTTAAATTATATTAATGGTCTTATCCAAATGAATCTGATTACACCACAGCGTCGCTCCGTGAAACGGTGCGCAAACTAAAGTCTTTGGCGTCATTATCGTGTTGTCTACGTTTTCTTAGTTAGGATACACTTGACAACAATTTTGAAAGAAGATGTCCTTGTTTGGCTTAAGCTACCAATTCTTCTGCGACGTTGTTGCAGTCTTCTGTCCTTGTTTTCTTTGATGCCCATCGAGCTTTGGAGGTCCCTTAGTAATTTCCCTTATTTGCACTTAATGGTCTGCAGGCGGATTGGCAGTAGCGTAATGCCGTCGTTGTCGCCGATCTCCGCAGAGGCCTTGGTCTGCCCTCGTCATCGATATCATCGTCGTATCATTTCGCACGAAACCTATTATTCTTCGTATCTAACCGTCCTGATGTTAAAAACAGTAGAATTCAACAAGAAAGGGCTTTATACAAATACAACGGGCTGGCAACTTTTCACTGTTTTGTTTGTATCGAAATCGAAAGGATTACAGCCCATACCCGCCCGGACACTCGCAGTCGCTGAATGCTACCATCGACAGCAGCAGTAGCATTCGAAGGCCATGACGACCTTTAAACAATCTCCGAACGCGTTACCAAAAGTACAAGTAAATGCTTTTCGTTTTGCTGTTTCTGTCCCTTTCCTGTTCATAGATAAACAGTGCTGGTTGGGCAAACAAGGCAGTCATCCCGGTTCTAAGCGGCCAAAAACTAATGTTGAGCGAATTGCAACCTTATGTGTAGATCGGTCTGGTGCGTTATGCTTAGGCACAAACTGAGACCTGGTACCCCCTAAGACACGCTTTCTCTCTCGGCTCTGATCGGCAGCATAAGACATCGTTTAGGATGAATTCAGGTCGTCATCGACAGCGTGCTAGTGGTACCGTGTCAACCACCGTCACCTTTGTTTCTCATGGCTCTGCTGCAATTTTCAGCTCTATTGCATGCGGCTGGGCTTGCAGCCGATGAAAACAACATTTCTGGCGGTAGTGATGGTATATACGGGGTTTGCAGCCTCCATTTAGAGTTAGAAAGGGCCAGCTTCTTCATTTTCTATGTCGGTCGCTTGGTCGTTTGGTCGGTTGAACATGTTTTTCATGCGCTATCCTTTATATTGCCCTCTCTAAGCACGTATCTCGTTTAAGAGACGGCCGCGAAAAAGCCAGGTCCTGACCTCGAGTTTAGCTGTAACCACTGGCTGTATCAATAGCGCCACTGCCGTACGACCTCTTCTAAACAATGCCGCCCGTTTGCCGACCGCTAGCCTTCCGGTTGGCCTACGTCCATCCCGTTCGGCCGTTCGTGTCTTCATTGGTCCTAGTCCAATTCCTCTTTGCTCTACTTGTTTCAGTCCTATAAAGCGACTTTCTGCAAAGCGCAATTCAATTGTCCGGCGGTCGTTCTGGGGTGGCTATAGTACTCGCGGATAACAATTTTCTCGTCCTTGTCAAGAGAAAGTTTCCAACATCGCGACCGTTCAGCGGCGACAATGGTGGGCGGCGCTACTGGCAGGGGTTAGCTACAACATTGGCAGGAGCCATGGTAAGACAGGCCTGTGAAAGCAACCACGTGCTCATTCCGCTGCGAGACTATAGCTCAACGTTTTTCAGACGCTTACTTTCTCCAGTTTCTCTGTTTCTGCTTTCTTCGTCTTTTGCTTGCGATTCGTACATCTGCATCCAATATGAGTCTGCGCTTGCCGGCGTCTGTCCATTTATCAACATGCGTCGTTCGAATGACAGAGGCAAGAATCGCGTCACGAACGGCGAGGGGGGCGTAGCAGAGGCGTCCGGAGCAAACGTCGGGACATAGCGGCAACAGAAGCAACTAACGGGGTCATATCTCCAAATTAACTTATATATATTCACCCTATTGTTCATTTCCGCATTCATGAGGTCTTCATTGTGAACAAGAACGTTCCTGCATGGCGATTTACTGGGCCGTAAAAAAACCGAAGTCTTCCTTCTTCACTCATGTATCTCTTCCTGTTAGCGTTGATGAAGATGGCGAGAGTCGTAGCGGTGATTTTTATTGGGACTGAAATAAACGCCGGGCTTTGTTTAGTATACTAATCATTAAAGTACGATTGCATTATGACTCGTTGGCTACGTACGCATGTATGATACAACGCGCACAAACTTAACAGCTATAAAAGTGATACATGTTAATACACGTGATCGAGCTATGACGATGTTTGTCAAGTCACTTAACATATCACAAACGATGTAAATTAATCTTTTTTTTGCCTTCCGATTTACGTCTCGTAGGGCAACATTACTCGCAGCCATGAGCACAAATATCCTTAGCAAAAACTCAGGGAAATTATGATGCTACTACACCGCTTGTAACTCTGAAATTAACCGGCAATATCCGTTATATCATAATAGACCCTTCTTTAATCTAATGTCACTTAAGTCTTCATATCCACATTGATGGTCGAATCTATGAGGAAATGATAAAAGTTAATTCTCACGATTATATGAGACAACTTCGTTAAGTAACGTAGGGAGTATAATAGCTTCGAAGCACACCCTCTCTAAGTTTCCAGGCTGTAATTGAGGTGGTGTGAGCCAGTCGTGACTAATCGAATGGGTGCACTGAAACTCGGTCGGCTATCGTCCATTGCAGGCCACTCTATGACACGACACCATACTTTTCTACTACATGTCACCCGATCCACCACGAACGGCAATGTTCCATCTAAGGCGAGTTTTCTGTCTGCTTAGGTTTCTTGAACAGAGTCTTGTAATTGGATAGTAAGCTAAGTAACTGCTGCTGGCTCTAAGGGTCTCTTTGAATGTGTTTCTAAGTTTGACCTGCGTGTTATATATGCCAGCAGTAGTCAGTCATTCATGTCTATCCAGAGTGTAAATTACGTTTTGTAAAATATTGCCTTATAAGGTGAAATTACCGGGAGAGCAGGTTCTAACTAAAGATTCGGACATAGATTGTTGAAGGCAGGGGAAAGGACTGTGTATCGGTGGGAGCGTGGGTTATAGGTGCCACAAGACGACAGGAGACCCTCCAGCAGTTATGGCCAACGGTCAAATGTATCCTGAACCGCTGGATGTACTTACTTTTGAGACTTTGCAAGGTTTTTTGGATTGCCTGGTAGAAAGCGTTCGGCGTACTCCAGTGCCCTCTAATTTTTCTATCAGCACATCCCCGTGCTGCATGGAGTAATAGCAATAATGATAAAAATATGCATAATAACGGGATATTTTATTAGGAACTTGTTCAAACCGCACGGATTGTGCATTGCAGTAAAAAATATATTTGAACTGCATAATTGCAAGTAAGCAATCCAACAACTATTCATTATGCAGATTACTACAAGGTCAACGAAGCATTCCCGTTCACTTTTCGCGTATCACGCTGACATGGCCAAGCCGTAACGAAAATTGGTTTACCCATAGATACGTTTGCATCTAGTCGAGAAATAACCTTACTTAGGCACCATGGGTCGCTGGTTCACAGACCGAGAGACGAGAAAGGACCGAGAAATCATCTCGCACCGGAGACATTGTGTTTCCTGTTGGTTTATTGGCAATCTTCTTTGCGGTCATTACTGATGAATGGTGCATAACCCTTACTGCAGTGTGATGTTGAATATGATGTAAAAATGTTTACC